AAAAACCCTAAAGGACATCGGACGGTTTCTGCAAGAAAACCGCCCTATATATTTTTCAGAAGATAACGACTGGAACTGATCAGAAGCCGTTCGTTATTTAGTTTTTAATTTTTCTGCGCCTTAAAAGTTGATTGTAGACTACCAAATGCTGAAATTTTTAATCATTTCTGAGCATCGGCCCAAAACGCCTATTCGATCGTATTTATTCCTTTTTCTCTGCAAGTTCGACGTTCTTAATAGAATCTTATACACGAAAACATGCGTAATTAAACGGGTTCTAAAATGATATATAGCACACCTTTTCAAACTAATGTCTTCACAGATTTACTGGACAAATACTTGGCAGATATCTCGATTTTACCCCTAGTGGCAGACAAAAAGGATTCTACTTTGGTCAGCACACTCCGACCCGGAATGATTTATATATAGAAAAGTGCAGAATTGAAAGGGCTACCTAATGAGCTATAACACGTTGTTTCGAAGGTTTGCCTTCATAGATGTATTCGACAAATACTTGACAGGCATCTCGATTTTAACCGAAGTGGTAGATAAAAATTATTATGGTTTCGTCCACAGATAGAGATCTCTAATCATTCATCCATCATTCCATACTTGGAAAATTCTACAATATGTGCTAATAGGAAACCTAACGAGGCTTCGCAGCGGTGTTTATGCATTAAATACTTCGCCGCTTAAACCGACAGTGGGTCCAAAACTTATTTGCCACCTCGATTTTTCATTTTTCTCGGCGACCATAATAGTTAGAACAAATTTGTAGAAAGATTTGAACAGCTGAAACAATTTCCGATCTGATGTGCTATATACATTGGTTCTATCAAAACTCATGAAACCAGGATCTCTGGCAAACCAAGGTCTCAGAAAACCAAGTCCTCGAGTTCAATTTAGAAATGCTTGCAAATAGCTCCGTTGTTTTGAGAAAACATTTCTGAAGAAAATAAGACGTCTACGAGTTCTCTACGACATGTTTTCGTGAAACGCCATTCAATTTACGGAAGGCCCTAACGTCGTTAGCATCACAAATTTGACTTTTATACAAGTGTCGTTTTAGACTATTTTTAGGGCTTTTACGAAAAGCTCTATAACTTTTTAACGAAGTAAGTCCGAACGAAAAAATTTTGGGAATCTTCCTATATATGTTGCCTCTACCTATGGTAAAATCCTGAGTCAAAAATTCAAACATCGATCGAGCAACTGGTACGCAAAAAAGCTGTGCCACTCGTGCAATGACTCTTAAGTTAGTTTTACAACCGTTTACAGGTCATCCTTTCTTTCTGTCAACGAGCGACACCTTTACTTCTATTTTTCTATTAGTTTATTAATTAACTGATCAAACTAACCAAATGTTCATCTAACAGCTGTTATTTTAGTCACATTTTGTTTTAGATGAGTCATCTAAAATGTTTGTTGTTAAATTTATAATTCATCAGAGTAGAGAAGTTAATTTTGGTCCATTTAACTGACCGTGATAAAAAACCCTGTAACGAGAAAAAAAATCTCTTTTAGTCGGTATTTAAACAAAAATTTCCACTGTTCCCATTTTGTGATGTTGTTACATTTCATATCAAAGTGGAAAATTTCACTTTGACGCTAACAGCAAAGTGGAATATTCCACTATGAAAAAAGTTCCTATTAAAAACACTGCATGTAGTTCTTCCCTGTGTCGATCTTCTGGGAGGAAGAGAGAGAAACAGCTTTGCTCAATAATAAACGAGAGACTTCTGTCACAGACGTCTGCGTTCATTATGTATGTCTGAGCAAAACTGTGTGTCCAGTAGAGCACACTTACGAATAGTAATTTAATTGGTGTTTTGCTAGCTTTCTCTAAACCTGATTAGTAAAGTTCATACATAATTTTATTTTCTATGTAAGACTGATCTGCTTGCATGTTTCCTTATAACTGAGTAGTAAACTGATGCTCATCATGCGATATTTCTGATTTTCAGGTCGATATTTGGCAGCATCGATCTGGACGCAGAGCTCAGAATAATGTTTTCGTATATCTTCATGATCGATGTGTATGAGTGCTATTCTTTACTTCGTATCCTTCCTTCAGTAATGTATGTTCGACCTCTTATCGTTTAATAAGACTTGAATAGAATCAATCCGAGCTAAATAAAATGTATTTTACTATTCGACACTATATCGGGTTATAGTGTTATCTAACGTGCCATCTGTGATTGGTCCTGACATAAGCAAATAGTAGACAATGAACTTGTTTCGTTTAATGTTTTGATTATTCTTCGATTTTTTATCGATAGAAAGGTAGCTAGGAGTTAGAGTACTTTACTTCGATATTTGAGTGTTTTAATCAGAAAAGAAAGTATCCAGGTCAAAGAATCTTGCCGTTAGATCTTATAAGATTCTGGTATGATTTCGTCTAATTTCGTAAGATTGTGTAAGAAACATAGAAACTGATTCTTGATGTAAGATTTTATAGTAAGATTTCGTAAGATTTTTGTGTGATTTTTATAAGATGAATCCGTTTCTATGATTTCCTTAAGATCTTGATCTCTTGTTTTGAGGTGGGTAGCTATGCTAGAATATTTGTTCTTCAAGAAAGCTTGTAGTTGTCGAAGGATAGTCTAAATTATTGTTATGTTGAATGTGTAGGCTCAATAATTTATCTTACCGCACACGGACACAAAACGAGTGAAATACATGTGAAGATTGATTTTGCTTGTTCTATTTAATGCAGGTTCCACTGGAAGCGTGAATGCTTTCTTCTCATGCGTATATCGATTACTCGACCGATAAAACTTGCGAGAGAGAAATCTTGTCTTCTCTACTCATCCTAGTCACTGGTCGAACCAAGTGAGAAATACAATTTTCGAATAACATACATTAGTCTATTAATTTGTAAATCAATAAAAAATAGTTTTAATTTCGAGCAGAAAGGTTGCTCATTGCTTACAGCAGTAGTGTGCGTTAGTGAAGTGTTTATAGAAGGCTCTTTCTTTACTTGTTTTGTTGTTTTATCCATGATGTATTTACACGGTTTTTGCCGCTTTTCTTGGTGTTTATTTTTAGATATATATGTCAAGATTTGAAGAAAAAAAAAAGAAACTTTAGACGGACAAAAGCCCGAAAAAAACTTCAGTAAGATGTGATATTCGATATCCCAGAAAAAATGATTGACTTTATTGTTTTAAAATAATAAAGCTTTACGTGACAGACAAAAAAGAAGGATTTTAGAGCACAACTGGCACTAAAAAAGCCGATGCGCGTGCGGCTGGGTTGTGAATGATCCTCTTTAATCCAAGATCTCCCTTTTTCGGGATTTCTTAGCAAAACACCAGAATTCACGCTATTTTTAGACCTGAAAATATTTTCAGATATATTTTTTTATCAATGGCGTCATATGGAACAAAACTCAATCACTTGTGGGAAAACAGTAGATGAAGTCCATGTGAGACGATGGTTAAAGCAAGGTGCTAAGAAATCAGTCTTCGTATGTACATTGTGTAAAACGGGAGAATTAAGCTGTGAGAACAAAGGATGGCAGTCGATAGTACAGCATATGAAGAAAGATAAATACCGTGAAAAAATCATAGAGTTGAAAGAAAATATCACATTCGTTAGCGATGCTATTTGAACAGTTAGATATGTTTCGGTGTTAAACTAGAATAACTGCTTTTTGCTTTGTTTTTCTTAGTTTTTTACTCGTGAAACACAAAAATAAAAAATACTATGAGTAGGAGGAAATCTTTTCTTTGAGAGTCTTTAGTCACTTTGACGTGTACATAACATTGTCAGTACCGTTTTTCGGCCGAAAAAATGCCTCCTTTTTTCTGAAAGGACCATTGCGAAGCCGGGCGTGCAGCATGGAATTTTAGCAATGTGGCGCTGAATGATACCGCTGCGGGACTACTTTTTGGGCTAAAAGGTTGACACTGTCAGATCAGATTGTTTGGAAGAGTGCGGCAATCTTAGTCACACAAGGATAAATTTTTTCTATGATTTGATTCGACTTGATTTTGTGCTCTGTGCTCAAGCTCAGTTTGTGATTTCTATTTTAGTATGTCAGGATAACTCGTGATGTCTTATCGAAACAGTTATAGTCGACAAGACGGCGGTGGTGGTCATCGCGGACGACGCAATCACTATGACAACAACAGTAGTCATCGTACAAATGACTACGCATATGCCAATTATAATCGTTCGCATAATCTCACGGAAGAAGAAGAAAAACTCGTAAACCTCGGACGCTCGGATCTATTCGAAAAGGAATTTCGGTTTCCTCTATGTACAGTTCTTAAAGATCATACACAGATAACAGAACAATTATTTCGAACACCACGTTGGACCATTTCAGACTTAATGATTTTTAAATCTCAGCTAAACATTACTCGCGATAAAATGAACGATAAAGATCGAAAAATTTGGCAAGAACACACATATAAAACGAATATGACTGGAAAAATAGCTTTTTCGTTACGTAAACAATTTAATATTGAAATGTGCACGAATGCGTGGATTAAAATGGCCGAAATATATGCCCGATATCCGGGTTTGATACCACCAAGTAGTAATGAAATGAGGAAACAATCAGAAACAAATCGACCCATATTCCAATCGATACATCTCTGTGAAGCACCAGGTGCTTTTATTTGTGCTACGAATTATTATCTTCGAAAACGATTTCAACAGACAGTTGACTGGCAATGGACGGGCTTATCCTTAAACCCCTACTATGAGGGAAATGACACAGCAGCTATGATTGATGATGATAGATTTATCGTTGAAACAATAAAAAACTGGTATTTCGGTGTTGATAATAGCGGAAATATTTTAAAGCCAGAGAACATCAGAGGCCTTTGGAATATATATGCCGGATCAAATAAGGTAACACTTGTAACTTCTGATGGAGCAGTAGACGCTTCGGGTGATCCGAATGAACAAGAAGCTCTAGTAAGTGAACTTCATTATACTGAAGCTGTTGCAGCTATGGGAGCGCTAAAAGAAAAGGGTAGTTTTGTTTTAAAAATGTTTAATTTATTTGAATGTGAAAGCGTATGTTTACTTTATATTCTTTCGCTACACTTTAATGAACTGTACGTTTTTAAACCAGCTTCATCGAGGACAGTTAATGCCGAAGTCTATATTATTTGCATAGGTTTTCGTGGTATATCTGATAATGTTTTGCAACATTTGTTGAGCTATATATCCCCTTCATTTCCTAAAGGCCTTGCTATGTTACCTCAAGATTCTATCCCGTTAAGTTTTCTTGAATCTCTAATCATTTGTGCTGAAAAATTTACTAAAAAACAAATTGAAGCAATTGAACGTAATTTAGAACTAGAACATGTAATGAATTATAATGTTGCAAAAGCTCTTGAACGACTTGCATATGATGTAAAAGATCAGTTTATTAATATTTGCAGTATAATATCTTTGAGTTCCGGTTTTCGTATTGTAAATCATTTGGAACTTGATGGATCAGCTAAACATTTGGGCAATAGTGCTTCACTTGTCCGAGGTGGTCTTCGACAACGTTTAGGCGGTACACTTGAAGATCGAATGAAAAAAACAGAAGACCGAAAAGAATTTCTAAGTGGAGTTACAGCTTCAAACACTTCTGGTAAACGTAAATTAGACGAAAAAGATGAAGATAATCTACCGGCTACTAAAAAAAGACAAGTAGCAGAAATTGATAATTCTATAAAAGCAATGTCAATCGGTGAAAAATTAATGAAAAAAGCTGGTTACGTTGAAGGACGAGGATTGGGTGTGGCAGAGCAGGGTCGAACACAGCCAATAGAAGTTTCATTGCAGGATAATCGTGCAGGATTAGGACGTCATAAAAAAGGAACAACTACCGGCGACACTCTCGTTGCCGTGGACGAACCGTTCTTTATAGATTTTGATCACTCACCTGCAAGATCGCGTACTTCGAAAGAAATGAAAGTATTAGGTATTGACCAAAAATCGATTGTAGGTGTAGCAGATAAAATACAAGCTGTAATAGCATCGATATTTGTTTCTGCTGAAGATTTAGAAACATTGTATCGGAAACGATTAGAAGCTTATGAACAAGGTCGAATACCATTTCAGAAACATCTGTTTTTGAGTGAAAATTTGGATTTATTGAATGATCCACGTTTCAGTTATCCTCAAACAGCAGTTCAGTTAGCATCAGTAGACGCCATCTTAAAAGTTGTTAGTGGACTAAAACTAGCCAAAGACGGTTCTCCACTATCATTTATTGTTGACGATCCTGGCTTTGCTGAATACATCAACTGGCAGCAAACGGGTAATGTACGTGGTTTTGTCTTCACCGAGCAGCACCACGTATTTCAAACAGCACGAAACCGTCAAATAGAATGTTGTAACTCCGACACTGAAATTCATCAAAAAGTTGTTTTCATGTCAGCTGATGTCAGTGTACCATATGAAACCGTAGTAAAAACTCATTATGTTGAATATGAGAATAAGCAGAAATTTGCTCGTGTTTGTCAACAAGTTTTTAAACTTCTCGATCGTAGTGGTAATTTTGTCTGTAAACTTCTTGATTTATTTACACGCTTTACAGCTGATCTCGTTTATTTATTGTATAAATGTTTTAGATCTATTACAATTATTAAGCCGTTTACATTAAATCCGGCTTGTTCAGATAGATTTTTAGTTTGTCAAGATTTTCTTGGTAGTGATGAATTAAGAGGAGTTGAGAAACATCTTGATGATGTTGTAACACAGCTTAGCATGGAAAATGATGTTGTTGAAATTCTGCCGATAAGTTGTTTATTGGAAAAAGAGTTTCAGCAGTATTTAGTTGATACAGCTCAACGTTTGTTACAACGAGAAATACAAACTTTGAAAAAATTATTAGCCGATGGTAGTGAGGTTAGTTCTATTGGTGAAAAACATTTAGATGAAGCAAAAAAATTAATTTTTTGTAATGAACGCAGAACAGTACCACCGGATGATGAGCCAGTGCTGCCGGATGGTTGGATAAAGCAGTGGAGTAAAAGAGAAGAAAACTTCTATTATTTTAATGTAAACACCGGTAAATCACTATGGGAATCAGAGTGGCAAGGGTAAAAAATATCATTTTTTTTCTTTTCTTCTCCGTTTTTTTGTTGTAATAATACATATTTTCTTCATACTTGTTTATTCTTTTGTTTTATATATGTTTGAATTTTCTCTGATGTTTTCAAACAACACTCAATTTACTGTTGAAAATTACATTCATCTGCGACTTCATTGAAAAGGACCTGATCTCGCAGTAAAATGAGTTCAAAACTTGTTTTATACTACAACTACAGAATGTTTTTGCGGAAGAGTCGCTCACAGATTCTTGACGTCACATCATAAACTATTTTCACGCATGTTTTAGTTTTCTGACCGCTAAATCACGTATCTGAAAATCACAACGGTCTATTCGGAAATTATCGGGTCAACCGTTTTTGGATGAGTGGTTCTTTAACGGTGATTGTATTATACTGAGAATTGTGCAGCGATTTTGATGAGATATTAACAAATATTTGCAAAAGAGCACATCTTGGTTATAACCTTAAAACTATAAGTCGTAACGATATTTCAAATTAGCTTTATAACAATCATTACAAACAAACAACACCAGCTGTTTATTAATTAATAAATTTAACATCACTAAATAAACTTCATCCATCAAATTCAAAGCGATTATGATTGTATAAAGAAATTTTAGATTTCAAACAAGTAGATTCATAGAAGAATCAATTAAATTTAAAATCGATATCGAATTTTAAAACTAATGAAATTTATTCAGTGACAGGAGGAAAGCCTTGTGTGATTATTTTACCTCTGTGGCTAGTACAAACTCATCTTTATTGTGTTTGTATTTTAGATACGGAACATGAACAAAATTTTCGTCTAATGAAAATAACTACTTTTAGCCGCTGCAGTTTGCAGGTTTGTGGTTCTAAAAAGGCTATTTCATTACATGTCTGATGAAAACTGCGATAAAAAAATCATTCTTTTGAACATCCTTCTTGAATAAGTTGGCTCTTGGCGATAAAATAGGATGTCTTGCAAGTTTCAGAGCGTTATGATTAAGATATTTCAATATATGCATCGAAGGAGTGTTTCAGCGTGTTCGAACTTAGCTGCGAAAATTGATTTTAATTCTGCTAGTCTCACGTGCTATATTACTAGCACGTGATGCTCAGAAACTACTTACTTATGGATAATTAAAACGTCAGAGTATCTAATAGCTATTCAAGGTGGAACTAACTATATACTACTTCATTACAATCGGAGTATTCGAACAAGAAAAAATCTTGTATGGCACAAACGACTTATTATGTATAGAGAGCTATTGTGATAAAATTCTTTTCAGTTTAATCTGAGAGAATGTAAAGCATATAAAAACAAGCACTAACATTTCAAAGAAATAAACCGTTTGCATTATGGCTTTATTCTTCTCTAACACAGTTTATAACAAAGGGGCTGTTCATCATCATATACTACTATGTACTAAAAGGATCTAGCTCTACAATCACACCCATCAATCAGGTACATTTGATAGTTCAACATATGTGGTTTTAGTAAGATATTAAAGGTAATAAGTATATCTACTTTTAAGTATTATTATGTAATAGACAACAAATATCTGCGCAAAAAATGTGCATATTGGTTACGAAAGGGGCGATTTTTGGTCTTTGTTTTAATGCATTGTACTCAACAAAGAATGAAATAATTCACAATTACACCTTTAGCTTTTCAAAAAGTTCCTTTCATCACATTATATCGTATATTGTTTGTTCATCCAGGTTATAACATGTTATGCTTGAGATTGTCCATATTACATACTCTTTTACCTCAGTAAATAACAATAGTTGTATGCTGTCATTTTTCTTCTCAGTTTGGCACAAATAAAGCACACCGCGTGACTGATTTGAGTGCTGTTATGCTTATTACGTGACTTCTTTAACTATACGATTATTTTCGTTAATGTGTCCCTGAACCTCAACCACGTACAAAACGGAAAATATTGACGTCAACTCGCTTTACACCGTTAGCGTATATAATAAGTTACTTTCATCACATTATATCGTGTATTGTTTTGTTATCATATTCAAGTTATTACGTGCATATCTCATCTTGTTCTTTTCATTTCTGTCTTCCAGTGTTTGTCAGACTGATTTTTTTATATTACCAGAAAATGTTCTTGAACAGTTTTCTATCCTATGTGTTTCGGTTCTGTGCGGTCCCTGCAGCATCCACAACGACCAAACTTCCGCAATGTTATAACGACATCAGTGGAATATTTTTGAGAAAATTTACTCATCCGAATACTGGTGGTTATTCATTATTATTCTATTTTCCATTAAATGGTGTTCTTCAAGTTGATTCAGACGAAAAACGTTATGCTAATCAATATTATGGTAAATAAGAGAATTGGTGGAAAATGGAAATAAGAGCATTGGTATATTGCATTCTAAAGTAAGTTGTCAAAATGTATCCGGTTGTAGTGACAGTATGACACATTGTAATGGTACAAGAACATTAAAATACTATAAGTTTCAACAACCAAATAACCAAGGAAAATTCACTGATCCTATTTCACCAACAATCAAGTCTTCACTGCAGTCGCTGAGACTTTACTCTCATCCATTTTTACCTACCAGCCACAGGAAACAATTGCTACACTAACATGGGTGGTATTTATGTTATA